GAATGAATTGCTTTAATACTTTATGTGAGGACGTTTATAAAACTGTTTTGAAACACTCAGCGTATGACATCGAATATTCGACAAGCTCAAAAAACTTCAATTCAAACACCCGCGATAGATCAAATCTACGTGCAAATATCACAACAAAACCATCACCTCAAACCTTTTCATTCTCAAACTCAATTCCAAAAGTGATCGACTTGTTAAGAACGAAATGAAAAGATGTTTCAAGTGTTGTGTTATATTCAGGCTTTTGTCATCCTCAAATATCATTTGCCATCAATTCGATCGAACGCAAAAAGAGTTTCTAAATTGAGAATTCTCAAAACGGCTATCGATTACATTTATTCACTCAGCGATATGTTACAGGTAAATGTTATGATTTCTGCACATTTCTCATTGAATGCGCATTCAAAACATCACTCAGCAATCCTGAATCGCCATCAGATTTTATCATTTTAGCCGAATTCCAGTTCAAAGCATTCAAATTCAAATAACTCATGTTTAAAAAACAATGCTTAAAAAGATGCAATAATACCAAACTTTATAATCTCTTACCGGTTATGTTTCGCTTAATAAGCTCAATTACGTTAGTGAACCTCGGTATTTTATCAGTACAGCCAAGAATGTGAGCACAGGCGCACTTGGTGTAATTTGTTAGAAGTTTTTGTTCATCAATGAATTGGGCGATGAACCATTGCCAGACGCACGAAACTTATTGAATTGTCAAAGCAGAATTCTGGGCACCTCACTGCACTTTAGAGCCAATCAAGTTTGAGCATTGTTTCTACACGGAAAACATGATTGTATAAGATCCGTTACGACAGTACCATTCATCCGTTCAACGATTTTTCCATGTGGTCCTCTCCTAATACCGTTTGTTCAATCGGATGTTGCTGATGAACACGAATAATGTAAAGTATATTTTGAGGAATGTCCAGCTCAACCGATGCTTTCACCAACTTCACATAACCCAACACGACATATCAAATTGAACCATCAAAACGAACACACTTCAACAACGCATCATCCTAAACGTATAATCGCTTATTCAGACCACTTCACTTTTTGAGTCTTTTCAAGTTATATTTGCTGGTTCCAGCAGTGTTTTTAAAGAGCAACTGGAACGAACAAAATTGGTGGAAATATTATTATTGATACGACAGGTGTAGGTTGAGTGCACGATTATCCAGCACACAGGACGGCAAAGTTTTCCGCCTCGGGTCAGATTGAAATCTTCTGACTGCCTCGTCGGCCAGATGTCCATTCGATGTGAACACCATCAAATTCTCATAACATCAGAATCC